CGTGCATTTTGCACGCGAAAAATTTTTCACGACCGTGAAAAAATTTGCTGTGACCGAAATATATAGAAGAATAAATTCAAAACACAAATTTATTGATGTATTGTGTTGATAATGATAGCAGCTAACTGTTTTATACATCAAAAATCATTATACTTGCAATTTGAATATAAAAAAACTTGATACAAAGATCACTGGTGAAAATTTCACCGGAGAAATTTTTTCATTTTACGAGGAACTGTGTACTTAGCTTAAAAAGGAAAACGGATTTATTTTTTCATCGATCTGTGTTATTTTTCAGATCATAAGAGTATCGCCGAACTTCTCATCCACAATGGAGCCAATGTTAATAGTGAAAATGATGAGAAAAACACACCTCTTCATTTAGCTGCTGAGAGTGGTAATAGTTGAATACTTGTCTTTACTAAAAGAAAATTGATTTGATCTTTTTCATCCATCTAAATTACTTTTTAGGTTATGAGAGTGTCGCTGAATATCTCATCCGTGAAGGAGCAAATGTTGATAGTGGAAATAATGTGAAAAACACACCTCTTCATTTAGCTGCTGAGAATGGTAATAGTTGAATACTTGTCTTTACTAAAAGAAGATTGATTTGATCTTTTTTATCCATCTAAATTACTTTTTAGGTCATGAGAGTGTCGCTAAACTTCTCATCCGTAAAGGAGCAAATGTTAACGTTGAAAATAATTCGAATCAGACTCCTCGTCAAGTAGCTATTGACAATGGTAAAGCTGACTAAATAAGATATCGATTTGATCTTTTTCATTGATCTGTATTATTTTTAGGTCACAATGAGGTCGCCAAACTTTTTATCGGTAAAGGAAACAAAATTTAATGATGAGCCATTGGAATAGATTCAATTGGCTACTAACAATGGTAATGTTGCATATTTTTTTCACAATACATATAAGAAATTGGTTTGATATTTTTGATCGATGTGTATTTTTCAGGTGACGAATAGCTGAACCAATTTAGCTGAATAATCGGATGATTTCCTTCGGTTCCCCTTTTCGATTGTAGTGTAGAATTATTATTATCATCGATTATTATTCTGTCATAAAACAGCTCAAGTTATTTGTCTTTTTAATTGCTTACATTCCATTTTTGTGACCCAAACGTACATCCGTGCTAAATTTGAACGCGATTTGTATGAGTCTAATGCCGTAGGCAAAATCCAAGAATAAAAATAAATTATGCAGAAAAGATGATAGAAAATAATCTAAATTTCAATCTGGTTTGAACAGTGTTGGTTGCTCTTGTTCACTTTCGAGTGATAGAAGAATCTGGTTCACTCTAGAGTATAGAGTCTACGCGGATGGGTTCAATTTTTCTTGATACGGCGTCAGACGTCAATGTAGAAAGAACTCTTTTTCTTGATTATAATCTACTGAAGATTTATGCACGTCATTTAGTGCAAAAGCATTCATTGCCCTACCTTACGCGAGCACCATCTATTCGGTTTTAACATGAAAACAAACAAATTGATCCATACAGAGTTATAATACAATAACATCTCTATGTAGAGGAAACGCTGTGTAGTTCGTTTTATTCGGCACACTTTTTATACACTGCCTTTATTCCCACCGATTCATATGTCGGTTGGCAGGTGGAGTCACTTTGCTTGTTTTCATGTTCGCACCGAATAGATGGGACTTTCGCGTTAGGGAGGGCAATAAATGCAGTTTTGCACTAAAGGTATGATGTACGTAAAGGGATAATTGGATGCAAAATCCCACTTCATATATATAGAGCACCAACTTCACCCCATTTCATTTTCTAGCCAATATGTGTACAAATTTGGATAAACTCAATTGTTGGTCTTGTCAAACTGTACAACTTTTCAAAAGACAATGATCGTTAATCAGTTGAAATAAATGAATTATTAGAAGATTTGCCCACTGCTTGAACACCTACTCTAACTTACTCACACAAATACAAATACAAATACAAATACTTTTTTCATTATAAAGTCTGTGAAACATACAATACTCTCAATGTCACCCATATTCAATGTCCCAGATTTTAGGTACATATTTTCGTGTGTACATTTAAGGTACATGTGGCTGCCCCCCAACAGTTCGTAAAATGAAAAACTAATTCCGGATTCGGAATCTGGGGAGTTAGTGCTGGTTTGTGCCAAATTTGTAGAGTTTGTGCTGCAACTGGGCGCGAGCACTGACTCGCCAAAGTTAGAAATTTGGAAAAAATGAAAAATTTGTTCGGCGACTCCACCTCAGGCCACAAATCTTGATGTACTGAGATTGGTTTTGTAAAATTTGGAGTTAGTGCTGACGCTGTGCAAGTTTCCAGAGTTTGTGCTGCAACTGGGCGCGAGCACTAACTCACTGAAAATGAAATTTTGTCAAATTTGAAAAAATTGTTCGGCGACTCCATCTCAGGCCATGAATCTTGATGTACAGTTTTCAAAAATTTAGAGTTAGTGCTGGCCCTGTGCCAAATTTCATGCCACTTAACACCTCCAACCTCTGAGCACTAACTCGCTAAAAATGAAATTTTGAATTGTTGGCAGACATCGCACTTGTATTCAGGGAAATTCGTTTCGATGGCCGCCACTAAGTTGCTGAAATCAATTTTCACTGCCTCATTTGCACCAATTATTGGTAGAACAGATACAGCAATATCCAATTCGTTGCAATTTTCGCACACCGAATTTTCCGTAAGTGAGAATGTGTGAGAGTGCAGGAGTTTTGAGGCCAATCCAATTACAACATTGCTTCGTGTGACTTTCTGATGCATAATCGGCTGTGGATCATTTTGTTTACTTTGTTCGCTTTGATTGTTAACGTGAAGCAGGCGACGCATATGCCGTGTGTGACGTCGGAATACACGACCATCAGACTGTTCAACAACGAATGATCGAGGCGTATCATGTTTCTTAATGAGTTTTCCGGTTTGCCATTTTTCATTGTTTCTAAACAAAACATTTTGGTTTTGCTCGAATTCGGCTCGTGGCTTGCTAACTTGTCATAAAATTCCTTTGATTCCATTTGCTTGTTTTTATGTTGAGTTTCAACATCGACACACAATTTCGGGTTTAGTTTGTCTTCATGCATTGGCAGATCGATACGAAGATTACGATTCTGCACTAATTGAGTGGGAGTATAAATCATATTCTTAATTGGTGTTGTGCGATATGCCAAAAGGGCTCGCAACACCTCTTCTTCTGACTGAGACTTCTTAAGGATCATTTTTCAAATATAAACTGCTTTCTCAGCCATTCCGTTTGACTGAGGATAGCGTGGACAACTATTTACAAAATTCATATCATGCTTCTTTGCAAATTCCTTGCACTCATACGATCCAAATGGAACATTATCGGCTATAATAATGCGCGGATAACCAAATCGTGAAAAAATTCGTAGCAGTTCAATGTTTACTTCCTGTGCTGTTTTTCGTTTCAGTTTGATTAATTATAACCAATTAGAATAATAATCAACTACAGCTAAATAGTCGTTTCCTTTGTGCTCTAATATGTCGCACGCCACTTTCATAAACGGTTTGTTTGGAATCTCATGTGAAATGAGCGGTTCTCTTTTGTTTGCGGGGGCATTTTCCTGGCATTTTTGGCAGTGTGCAACTACATGTGCTATGTCATTCGATATATTCGGCCAAAAAACTGTGCTCTGTGCTCTCTTAATCGTCTTATTTATGCCAAAATGTGCCTCATGAAGTTTTGTCAATATAATTTTTCTCATGCTCTTAGGGATCATTACACAGTGCGACACATATTCTGGGGACTCAAATTTGATATTATCTGGCGAAAGAACTCGCTGAAACTAGAACTTCTGCATCATTACTTTTGTCAAGTTGTAAGATATAAGAACTTTGGCCCCAGACTCCATTTTATACCTAAAATTCGATTTTGAGCGATTTTACGATATTTTCACAAGGCTTTATCTCGGTAAACCGTATGGAATATTGTTTTTGTGTCTTCAGCAATCTTGTAGGTATTGAATAGTAGAACAAAAATGCAGAACAAACTTTTCCGAAAAAACCACATCTAATGCCTCAAAATCTCAAAAATGACCATTTTTTATCATTTTTCGAACATTTTTCACAATTTTTGGTCAATAAGTCGGCCACAAATCCACAAATAGGCTATTTTTTTTCTTTTTCGCTTTATTTCAAATCAAACAAATGTTTTTCAATTCATTTTATAGCTATTATTACATAGAAAATATCAATTTATTGTTGTTATGTATGAAATATGAGTTTATAGCTGTTACGTATGTATGAAAAAGAGATAAAAATGTGTTAATTGTTTGAAGATGACGGCTGTGGATCTGATATTGCGTCAGATGAATCAATAGATGGCATATCTATTTCTGTGTGTCCTTCGGTGTCTTCGATGTCTTCACGTTCCAGTACTTTCAGATTGCTGAAGACACAAAAACAATATTCCATACGGTTTACCGAGATATAGCCTTGTGAAAATATCGAAAAATCGCTCAAAATCGAATTTTAGGTATAAAATGGAGTCTGGGGCCAAAGTTCTTATATCTTACAACTTGACAAAAGTAATGATGCAGAAGTTCTAGTTTCGGCGAGTACTTCCGCCGGATAATATCAAATTTGAGTCCCCAGAGAATAACCTGACAAATGTTGCACTGTGTTATTCTTTCTTTGTAAAACAAAATTTCATCGTCGAGCAAAATATCACTTCTCAAGCCATACAAATATCTTAATTGCTCTGGGCAATTCTTTTTATTACTCGGCCACCCGCTTCGACAAAACTCCTTTACTTGCTTTAAAATCTAATCTTTTTCAGTTTCATCTTGTAAATCATTTTTTCGCTCATCTGTTGCATTAATTGTCATTACAGACTCAGATATGAAATTATCTTCTGTGGGGTCACTGTCATCACTTCCACAGATTAGAAATATTAATCGTTCGGGGACAAATAATTTTGTTTATTTGTAATTAACAAATTGTAAAAGTATAATATTGTCAATGTTCAAGATAAATCCATGCGAGAGAGAGAGAGAGAGCGGGTGCAAAATTATCCGGAAGAAAGATTTTTTTTGCGCAATATCAAAGTTTGGCCTTTTTTAGAAGATCTGTTGAAATCTTCAGATATGAAATTTTGAAAATTTGGAACCATATCTTACTCATTTTCTTCTACTAGTACATCTATCTAAGAATTTCGTATAAATGC